TCTCATTCTCTCCTTCTCTTTCTCTCACTTCTTTTTTAGGCGTTCGAGCGGCCGTTCGCACGAGTTTGCGAACTTTCATGATTTCACGTCGCTTCCATCCTTCCTTTATGTTTCGCTTATCCCTTTTTTCTGTCGCAGCGTTTGGCTTGTCTATGGGTTGAAATCCGTGGCGTCGTTACGCGTCTAATTTATAGGTTAAGGGAGCAATCAAGATAATTGCAATCAAGATAAGTCATATGCTCAATAATTCAATTAATTTACTACACTGCATGCTATATCGGTATAAAACTGATAGCAAATTCGTCAATATTAAATTGCACACTAGAGATTTTCAAATGATTGCAAATACACGTGCAAGAACAGCCTTTATTATCATTACGTTATTTTTATTTATTTTTTATTTGTTATATATGTTTTATATGTTTATAAATATAATATTGAAGATATAAATTTATATTGAATAAATACTGAAATATTATTAAAAAGTAATTAACTCATATATGCATTATATTTATGATTATGAGAAATGTTTTGTCGGGATTATTAAAAAATACATTTGTGATTATCATTGAAAATAAGAATGATATAATTTTATAATAAATTCTATATGAAATAAATTGTTTAAAATATATTCAGTAAATAGTTATAAGTTAAGTAAGTGATAAGTTTGTTAAATTATAATTAATATGTCATTATTATATTATATATTTTTTTATTCATAAATTTTAATATTTTTATTTATCAAAATTTTGTCAAGTCATGCAATTTAGAAAGGTTAATTTATCCTAACTTGATTTTACATCTTTTAAGGTTGTTATTATTAAACTAGCGGAAACGTAGGAAACTGGTTCTATATTTATCGGTTTGATCTGGAGATTTTACGAGCGAGGAACTGCTATAAATACTATATTAATACGCGTTTCATTAGATGACGTCATTTTATGACATATACTGCTATTTTAGTAAGTAATAACTGAAGGATGCATGCTGTTCCCTAATGATAGCGGAACTTTTCAGCCGAATGTAATGCATACTGTATTTTTTCCTTTATAAATAGTTCATGAAAAAATTAAGTATTGTTATTTTTAATCTGAAAATGTCACATTGCATCTAACAATTAGTTTTGGATCTCATAAAAAGAAAATCTGTTCTTTTCTTTTGTTAAATTGTAATTTCCTAAATAGAAGATTTGCTAGAAACAAAATCAAATTATTCTTTATACGTATAGAGTACAATATAGGAAATTTTTGTAATATTATATGTATTTACGTGTAAATTCAATTGTAAGATAACAAAATTATATATCATAACTGCATAATAGTATTCCAATAAAAAAAAAATAAACATTACTTCTTGATTTCAGAAAGTAATCAAATTAGTCTTTTCAATGAAACTAGTATTCGACCTATAGCAAGGACATATCCCGATAGGGTAGCCATATCCGTTAATAAAGACTACAAAGTGTTGTGCGTATATTGCAGTTAATTTGCTCATTGAATTTTCACCTTGAATACTTCCACACTCCTACTCATCGTTTACCTCCATCATTGAGCAGTAAATGGTTGGAATAAATGCCCCGACAAGGATGGTTAAACTATGTCTCATGGGCGTTTAATCGTCTCGTCTCAGTCGAATATATACGTACTTCTTCATAGCTATATTTTTTCAATAATAAGTTGCCAGATTTTGTTTTCTCATGTTTTATCGATTCGAGAAATCAGATATTATAGAAACACTTGTGCTTACTCGTCGAATTACTGCAAAGGATTTTCCTGAACGGTGCAGTTAACTATAACAATCTTCTTGTACTTTTTTCGCGTCCGAATCTTCCTGAACAATTAAGTGCCTTGATCTAGACATAGCGAGCGATCTAGGGCTATGAGGGGTGAGGTAGCTCGAGGATCCTAGTGTAATCCTTATTATTATGACAATCCCATATTCGAGCCACGATTCGTGGGATATAACCGTTCCCTAGGTTGGAACGCCCCCTTGGTCGCGTGTGCTAATTGCTGAAATGTTATTTACGATTCCAACCGTCGCGACGCTCAACCGGCGCACACGTTTCTAGAATGGGAATGCGGTTAACCAATCCTTAGACGTCGAACACGCTTTATGATGCTTCCATTTGAAATCGTGAGACTCGATTCGATGAATATGCCCTACAGCTTGGCGTGCAGCTAACAAATATCCTCTAGTTCAATATAATCTCTGTGATATGTAATTTTACTTAGAGCCATTTGATGGAACAATTTATGAGAGTATTAAGTTCGATTTTTCAAAAGGTCAATAATGCGAAACAATTGCTCAATCTAACCGAATCTAATCTCAAACGAGAAGCTTCGACCGAAATTATTTGATCTAAATATTTAGATTAAATAATATAAAATAAAGTAATTATAAGATGATAGATTTATATATGCTTCTATCGTAAACAAATATTATATATAAGATTGAAGAACCTTTTAATATTGCGCGCATAATGAAACCTATTTGGAATTTATATTTGCTACATAAATTAATAGTATTAACAAGTTTTTATTTTTTTTTAATTTAAATTATTTTTTTCGATGTTTCACATTTGCATTGCTCTGAACTGAATGGCAAAATGAAAATTTTTTTTTTTATAAATACGAATAAAATAAGACTCGTATGAAAATTTCACTTAATTTCACGTAACTTTAATTATTAATTGCTAACTATTCTTTACGACGTTGTGCGCGATGGTGTTAGTAAAGTCGCACGTTTCTGGAATGGGAATGCGGTTTATCGGTTACCCGGGCGCCGAACAAAGTTTATTACGTTTGCATGCGAAATTGTGCATTCTCCGCAGTTCTGAGTCAAGCAATTGGTACTCCAGTTGCGAGTAACAGTTATAAGATCGTTTCGCTGACGTTCAAATGGCGATATATTCCAAGTATGACGATGAAATGATCCAATGATATTTTAATTTTTACAATGCTGTCTATACGCGAGCTACTGATTGCCTATTTATTTTAAAAATTAAGAAAGACTTACGATAAAAATAATATAAAAGCAAACCACTAACAAGAAATTTATTTTAATTTTTTATTCTTATAAAGATCAAAAACATATTTTTCGTTAAAAATGTATCTTAAATAAAAGTAAATTATTCTAAACTAATATAGGAAGGTTAGCTACGGTGTAAGACATATGAAAGGCCAATAATAACGCTTGGTAGAAGTCGGCTAAGTATTTGCAGAACAAGTATTATAACCGTTTATTATTATTATTATTATTATTATTACACTGCTCCTAATTGTACTTACCGTGTCGTAAAAGAAATTGTACGAAGGCCAATTATTTCTTTGAAGAAATTTCTTCGTCATTACTATATTAATAGAAAGCTAGAATTTGTAGCGCACGTTGTTTTGGTATAATTTTACATAATTTATATTAATAATATTAAAATAATATATTGATAGTAATAATTTATATTTATTGAATATTATGCAAGATTTATTATTACTTTATGCAAAAATTGCTCATTTTAGTTATATTATTCTATAATTATCAAAAATCAAAAAGTATTTTTATCGAAACATTTATATTTGCATAAATTGTATATTATTTGTAATTGTCACGTAATTGTAATGATAGTAGCAATATGACATAAGTGTACAGGTAAATATAACGAGGTAAATATAAAAAGAGAAGATAATGCATATATTATAATTTCAATTGCATATGTAGATATGAAATAAAGATAGCATCAGATACTCTTTCTATTTATGTTGCTTAAATATATCATCGAAGATCAGTATACGGGCATTTTTAAGCGATTTATAACACTTTATATGTCGAGTTATATTCACGTAAGAAGCCTGTTTCGCGACTTGAACGATCGTTAAATTGCTTTAGAAAAAAAAAGGTAAAGAAAACAGATAGTTAAACGCCCGACAGTTGCAGCGATATTATTTACGGCGCCTGTGCGAGTGACAAAAGTGGCCGGGATCGTCAATCCGTTCACACGTCGGTAATCGCGCAAGTCCGGCAGGTCACAAATTACCTATCATTGCCAAAATGTCCGTCACGATAAGGATCAACGCGGGAAATTACAAATGCGAAAATTAACATGATCGTAAATGCGAATGACCTCGTAAAACGTGTTGTTAGAAGAGATTTATTAAGGTATTCGCAAGAGGTTTCCGCCGTACGTGAATCCCCAAATTATAAGTTACATAAGTAGAATCCCGCGGTACGAGTCATAATCTCGATGTCGCCCTCAATATAGGCCTGAAATATAGCATTCTCATATAGCAATGAAATTAATATACGTGTAGTTATTAATATGTATAGTAACATTCAGACCTTACAACCTTACCATGAAATTATCATAATTCGCATTGATTAGCTCCTACTATCTAGGAGAGATATTTAAATGAGATATGACGTGAAGTATTGTGATGTTAATTGTAAAGATCTGGCTATAATGGCTCGCCAGTATGACAAATGTAAAATAATTCAACAGATATGAAAAAACAATTTTTCTCAATTAATGAAATAAAAATAAAACATTTAGATTGTCACGGCAAATTCACTGCCGAAACATCAGCCGAATTAAGGCCTTGCTGTACGTACTTTAACTGTTATCTGTTTGTAATGACGATCTCACCGCTTATGCAAATGCTAAGTTATGTGGTGGAATCTACAAAACGGGAATAACATTCAGCACGCGAAAAGGCCGTTTCCATTGTTCGCTTAATGTAATATGTATTTATTGTTAAGCAGATAGACGCAACTGATTTATGCCGCTACGTTACAGTCACGCGCGCTCATGGAAGATAGATTGCGTCTGGCGATCGTACCGATATGCATTGCGCGCATTTTTCCCACAATAACGCGTGCATCTCGCTGAATTTTCCGCCCATTTAACATTTCACGTTCTGTATTTTTGTGTCCGTTACCTCGATCCGCGGTCGCTCATCCGGTTAATTGAAACAGCACGAAGAAAGGAGGAAAAAAAAATTAATGCTGCGGATTGCATGCGAGAAAACTATTAATAAAGTGTAAGCGGTCTCTTAAGATTTTTATCATTATACATGCTATTTGCTGTATTTACTAGTGCTTTATCGGGAGAATAACACAGGAGCGGTTTGCAGATCTCATCAATATTACCACATATAATTATAACTCAATAGTAAAATTATTGTTATCGAGAATATATATCTGTTCTTAAATTGTCAAAATTATCATTTTATTATTATTGTAACGTGGAAAGACGCACAGATACTGTTAAATACGATCAGATAGAATTAGAATAAAAAAGGTAGTATTATAACACATGAGATGTAAAATAAAAGATAAATTTGTGAGTTTTGATAATCTATTCAACTTCAGAATTACATAATTTTTTTCGTAATTATATTACCTGATACGGAGACCACAACTGACAAGTAAATAAACTCGTTTATTATGTTGCTCAACGCTCTTCCGAGACTAAAGATCATAAAAGATGCTTGGCAACGCGTGGTAATGAATCGGAAGAATCGCGGCGCATCTTTTTTTCCACCAACAGCGGAATACGCCCACCTAATTTTGCCGTATCCTGGATTGCTGAATCTTTCTCTTTTCTTTTCGCTTCCTCTTCCTTTTTCTTACTCTCCTTCTCTCTTTTAGCCATCCTCTTTACTGTCTATCCGTAAAGGACTCCAAACGATTTTGGCGAAATTGCTGCTGCTGACCAGAAAGTATCTGCCTCCATAGTGCCTCAATCCGTCCGTGTGTCTTGATTTGAACTGCACCGACGGTTCTCTTCTTCTAAGCATTAACTATATGAAAGTCAAAGCTCTCAATATTCGTGTGCACATGTATCTGATCTGCTCGATATTCTAAGAGTAATCTGCCAACTGGAAGAAAAACACGAACGTGTTTTCTTCTATCTAAATATAGTATACACATAAACTAGTAATTGTCACCCTGAGCATAATTATAAAAAAAAAAAAAAACGTAAAGCAAATGTTTGATTGTTCTAAAAAATAGATACACGTAATATTGCTCTAAAAAATAGACGCACGTAAATATAACGTTTGTACTACTCGGAATTTATCCGGCACTTGCTCGAGATAATCTCTGATTACTGATTCGCAACTTATAAAACGATCGAGAAAATGTTCGCTAAGTTTGACGCGACTTATATATCGCGGTAACGTGATATCCGTGACGATACGATAAAAGATTTTCGTTTGCGATATTGAAGAATCGCCGAGCGGCACGCCGACGATCCGAAGGTAGTTGCCATAACACATATCGAACGTTGGTAGCATCAGGCCCAATGGATTGAGTTCAAGCTCGCACGAATGGCCGACCTCCCTTCCTCTAACCGGTAGCGAGAGAAGCTACCGCCAGTCGAAAACCATAGGGACCGTATGTTCAACGACTCGAAGTGGAGGTTGCGTGCGTGTGAACGTGCGCGCTAAGATGGCGGCGCGCGCGCGCGCGCGCGCGCGCGCGAGCGTGTGTATTTACGGATCTATGTATCGGCGAGACGTCCTTAGAGTCAGTCGGTGCACGGAATGGCGTAGGCACGAGATGCAAGATGATAGTACTACGCGATTCTCCCGCTAACTAATATGGCTGAGTATGCGACGAGCAATATTTGCGCGCGAGCGAGGAACGTCCACGATGAGGAACGTAAAACAGTATAGTATACGGCTCGGTTACTACACGATAATCGAAATGATTGCCGGCATTATCGCTTATTAATAACAATCGTGAAATTACGGCCTTTCCGAAGAAACGGTTTCTGGATTGGTTATCCGTTAAATAAATCTGTCCGCGATGCTCCTCATGAGTACGGTATAACGAAATAGAATGGCTGTTGCTGATAGATGTTATGTAACTAATTATACATCTTGTTTCTGTCGATTCTGTCTACCTGTCTACTCATTAACAGTTTTATATTTTCTTTTTTTTTCCTTTTCTTTATTCTTATATTTTATTCATATTATTTCTCTCTTTATATTTTCTTTTTTCCTTTCCTCTCCTTTTTCTTTGCAATATATTGTTAATTTTAAAATAATTGACGATACGGATTTTTCAGTATCTTATTATATTCGCGTCGTTGCATCGACTACTGCGTCAACGCAATGTTTAAAAAGTACCTAAGAAGCAGAGTTAACGAAGTCTTGATATTTCTTGTTTTTATAATGATAATTTAATAATCAATTAATTGCATAAATAACAGGAGAATGTGTAATTTTTTTCAAATATAAATAAGAATATCCAGCACTTTATCTTATTCATACGTTACGGGACTAAGATCGTGGTTCCTTTATTTTCTGTTTAATAAATTAATACAGCAAACTTAATTAGTGGATAATTATATTCTGTGAAAATCAATTGAGATTTATGATAGTAGATATATGATTAAATTATTTTGACTGAATAATTCATATGTTGAAAGGCATTATTGTTACACATTGTAGATTATAAATTTATCTAAGAGATACGAAAGTTAGAAGATTAATGTATAAAGATTAAAGTATAAATATATATATATATAGAAAATATATAAAATATTGATTTTTGTCATAGCATTTAAAAATAATAATATCGCTTATATTAATGGCCGGTAATTTTTGCGCTCATTAATTATTTGAGTTATTGATTTGCCTTACATTGACAGATTTGCTTCCTGACTTTTAAAATGTATCACGATTGCAGTTATGATAAGAAACAATGTTCTCCGTAAAAAGTACGCAGAAATTGAATGTGTATGTACCGCGCGGCAAAAGAGATACGAACAAAATTATGTTAATTATAAGTCGTGAGTCCAAAACTATGCTCAGAAACAGTATAGTAAACGGGAAATTTGTAATAATAATAACCTGCAAGTCAGAAAGAAGAAACAAAAAGATAATGGAACATCGAACGAAGCTTACGGTACAGCGCGCGTAGCGCTTGAAATTATTATTATGGGAAGCACTCAACTTTGTGGCGTTATCGAGGCAACCGATACCGGAGTAAAAAAGAACTCTAAACACCACACGAAATTGGAATGTAGCTCAAGCTGTAGCCAAAAACTATCTCTCGTTATGGCACACAGGCATCATTCAAAAATGAGATATTTATGTTAGAAGACTTTTACGCTAGCTTCATCATACGTCAAGACTAATTCAAGTATATACAAGTTTATACATACAGAATTTACAAATATACGTATAAGAACTATTTATCTCTTACGTTTTTTTTTTAGTACGAAGAAGAAATACAAATAATAAATAGCACAAGAGATTGAATAATATTTTAATTTGTATTCCAATTTTGATTTCTAATATTTCTAAACGTATTATATAACGCATTATATATCAATGAGTAATTAATACAAAATTTCATTTTTTTATTTTTTAAAGTAGCCAATCAATTAAATTGTATAAATTGAACAAAAATAATATATAAGAGTCTTTGTATGTTATATTTATTTGCGAGAAAATAAACTCAGAGCGTACGATTCTTATGACTACTGTTTCGCTAATCATTATCATATTGTAATTAATTTAAGATATAAATTTTTATTTGATTATTAATGACACTTAATGAAGTATGTAAAAGTTATTTGTATATTGAAAGATTCGTGCTTGTTAAAAATACTGATAAATATATCTAATGATGCCGTCGGATGAATGAGAAATTTACCAAATGCTACATTAATCGCGGATAAAAAGAATTTTTTATTTGAAAAAAGCTTTCTTAAAGATTTTTCTTAATGTAAATTACTAAAATGTACAACGCTATCTGATCGTTTTTTTATAAATATGTAGCAGATAGACTAACAACATTATTCAATTAAAGTTGAATAAATTTCATTAAGAATCACATGTTATTTTATATACAAAAATTTCCTATGTAAAATATACGCATATACATTTAAATTTCTTATTTATTCTGAAGTGTGAAGTATTAAATTTATTCTATCTTATTATTTGAACTATAAGAAGGAAACGATCGCACGTAGCAATCAAATTATCTTACGGCCTTAATTATTTCTTGAGAGAAGTATGTTGGTTTGGAATATAGCAGTTACGTCGTTGATTAAAGTCCAGCTGGCAGTGAGATTGATTAACTATTGATTGATGCACCAACTGCACAATTCACACTGAGCATCACCACATTTGATGATTGACGTAAATTACATACTTCGCACAATATTGCCAGACCGTTTGAACGGATGACAATGTACGGAACGCGGTTCTGTTACGAGACATCGGTTGATCCATGCTTCTTAGACAAACTTCAACGGTAGAATGACAGAAGCGCAGCGACGCGACACGAATACCGACTCAACACTGGCACACCGGTTGACGCACGCATTTACAACACAGGATGAGACATGCTAGAGAGAAATTACAGTCAAGGTTTGGCCGGAGGAAGCCTGATTACCCCTTTACGACGCGTCAAGGCCGCGCCGAGACTTTGTCATTTCAGTAAATAGGATACGCGTCATCTCGCACTCTCTATTATAAAAAAATCGAAGCGTTCTATTCTTTCTTTTTTTTTTTTTCTTCTTTGTTCGTACGTGTGTAAAGAAGGATGCTGTAATTCTAAGTGTCGAATAATGAATGGCAGTTAAAGTCCTTCGTGGGATAAAGGCCGAAGGAGATTTTCTTAAACTGCGTGTACGGAAGAAAGGGTTAGTATTTGCCACGGTGTCTCAACCTTGACGCGTCTCGACAGTAAAACGTACAAAACAACCCTTTCCCGCTGACCGCTCATTGGCGATCTGGGTTTACAGCCTTGGTTTGACCTAAAGTGCGGTTAATAGCGCTGTAGGGTCTTTTTTTAGTGAATACTGAGGCTTGTTAAAAAATTTTCCAGTCGTACCTATCGCATATGAATTTTTATTTTCAGTCTATTGTTTGTGATCGAAAAAAAGTTTCATATCCTGCTGCTTTTCATCAACAAATTACAAAATAAAGATACATATGTGCATGAATATTTTATATTTAGAGAATTATGCAGATGAACACTGAATGCGTATAGCTTCTTCTATTTTGAGTAAATCCAATTTAATTTAAAAAAATAATAAAAACCGACTGCATAATAGTAATTGTAACTTTTGTAAATTTGTTAAAGCATCTTATCTAAACTGATTTATATATGTATAAAGAAAGTACTAGAAAGATTATTTCTTGAATTTTTTCTGCAAATAGAAGCCGCAGTAAATGTGGCAATAGTCATCAACTTGAACAACTTTGCATTGAAATTTTGTTTTAAATTTGTAATATTAATTGTTATTATGCAATGCGATGTTTCCCATAAAAAAAAACTTGTTTTTTGTTCAGAGATTCTTTGTATAGTTCTGCCGACGTTCTTTGTATGCCTAACGTTTTCTAATAAAAGATAACTTAGAGCTATGAAATGCACGTGCTTTAATATTTCTCTCTCGCAGCTCTTTTACACCTGAGAAATTCATCTGAAGGTCTTATCCTTAAAAGAAACGTTTAAAGCAGTATCAATTTTTATTATAATGAAGCAAGGACATGTCCCTTAATTTACAGACTGTCAATTCAGGATTTTTTTAACTGTGTAGACAAATACATTTATTCAGTTAGAAAATATCTTCATCGATATAATAAATGAAAAGTGAAATTCAGTAAGATTGGATCGATAGTTTTGATATCAACGAGTATTTTATATAGCGTATTCTGTATAATTTCAACTATTTTGTTCTTTATGCTTTTTTTATGCTATATTAATTCGAGATTTTATATTTGAAATAATTTATCTCTTTTAAAAAAAAGATTTATTAATATTTTAAGTATTATATCAGAAACAATTCTTACTTCTTAAAAGTGAAATTTTTTTAATATAATTTAATAATTTCTGCATTAGTTATGTCGTTATTTTGCTAGCAATAGCGGCAGATTTCTAGAATGTCAATATGAATGTTGCTTAATCGCGAAAGTGTAATCGCAGCCGTCACCTTGTAATGTGATGCAAGGGATTACTTTTCTTACTTCGTACATATCAAAATTAGAATGACTTTCAAACACACTCCGTTTCACGGCATGATTTATGCCTGGCTGATGGTTTGTGTGTGCAGTCACTGGTTTTATGCGAGCGTTTTAAATGGGAGATAAACATAAAGAGGCCTTTTATGGCGCCATCAAATAAACAACTTGACTCCTTCTTCTGCTTTGCTTCTCTACTTCGCTTTGCTTCGACAGGCCTCGACGTTTTCCTCCTCAGGATCTTCCGGTGACTTTTGACTCGATGGCACTTGTAAATTGGTTAGGCTTTTTAGTTTTATGAGTACAGTGCCACACTTGTGCTAAACTATTCATTTCCAATAAAAAAAGGTTCACTTTTTCATGAACCTTGATGCATATAGGTGAATACGTTCTAATTAGAACACGTATCTTCATTCATTATCGTTAATGTGTCTTGAACAAACAAGCTAGACACTATCGAGTTTGGATCAATACCAGATTTAATGTCAAAGGTCACGAAATCTGTAGTGAAAAGTAACGCTATCTTACTTATCATGACATTTTAAGATGACAATATAATATTCGAACATAAAGTGTTAAAGTTTAAAAAAATTATTTTTGTCGTGTACCCACGAGCTTTCTTTTTATTCTTTTTTTTAGGAAGCTACATAAAAACCATTTTAATTAAAGCGATTGCAATATTGTCTCCAATGGAAATCGGGAACAATGCGTCTATTCGGATTCCAGCGTTACTGGAATAGAAATTAGTGAAGATTGTCACTTACCGATGCCATGGTGGAACCAAATTCGGAATTCTAGGATGAGTCGAGGGCGCGCGAGCACACACGTACGTACGCAATGGCGGCCATGACAGGCGCAGGATTCTGGCGTCGCGACGCTTGTCGGGCACGCGGCTCCAAGGTATCGACCACCGTGGGTGCGAGCGGTTGGTCGGCTGAGATCAAGTGATGAGGAGGCCAGAGGGGTTGAGATGGAAGAACGAGCAGGAGGAGGTGGGAAAGGTTAGGGGTAGCGGTAGGTACCACGCCCAACCTCCAGCGATCTCGAACCCCTAGCTTTCTCTTCCAACCCTACGTAGAACGTAGCTACCCCAGGGCGCATTATCATATATTTCCCTTTTATATCCTTTTCCAAACTGCACTCTTACTTATCGCTATCCCTTTTTTGACTCCTACTCTTCTGCTTCGTTTGCCGCTGCCGCCCACGATTCTTGTTTTTCATTCGCGCAAGAAACGGTGTCTCGCCTCTTGGTCACTTTATCGAGGAGCAGAGATTAAGGAGTTTGCTGTGGTTTTTATCGGAAGATTTTTTTGAAGGTGATTTTGCTAAAGCTCGAAGTGGCAGCTGTTTTCTATCATTTGATTATGCTTTATGTTTTTCGATCAAACGACTCCTTTTTTCTACTAAAAATGATATTCAATTTTGATCAACACGCGTAACGTACGCTATGAAATGAGACTCTTTGTCATATCTTCATCATTTATATACCATTTATAATAACGAGGAATAAATAAATTTTTTATTTTAAATATAATGTAAATTTTCTATTGCAGCAGGATAAAAATACGAAGCTTTGTCAATACAAATGGCACTTGATTCTTGTAACCGATAAAACGTGCCGCGACGTAACTCCCAACAGTACAAGATATACGTAAAACTTCACGAATGGCTTGGCAGCCACAGTCGTCATGATATTTTTATCTCGATACTATATTCGAAGCGTAATGACGACGTCATGACTAATGCAGCGGTCAACGAACTGAAAGATACGAAATAATCATATAACTCCTGTGTTATCTCAACAAAATTATTATTATTTAAATCTATCTGTTCGTAAGATGTATTAAAATTTAATGATAAAATAACATAACTAAAATTGTTTTAAAAAGGATTACTAATAAAACTTGATTACTAATAAAACGCTTAAAAATCCAAAACAAAAATAAAAACTTGGAAATTTCGAAAAGAATTATATTTATCTATATTTTAATCAATATAATTTTATGTTATAATATCATATAATTATATTATATATTTGAACAGTATTCTCAACTTCTCACGTTGAATTGTTTATATATTTGTGTTATATTTTGATGTTATGCTGAAGATTACTACATGAATTAACTTTTATACTTTCATATTTAAAAAGTAAATGAAATTTACTTGTAATAGAATTAGATCCTATTTAGTCCTATTTAGTTATAATTTTATTATATAAAAAATATAAAATAAATTTAGCTAACGACAGTGTTCGTTTAAACTTTATCATTGTTTTAATTTGTATACTATATACAAATTAAAATAATTTCCCTTTCTCTCTTTGGTACACTTAAGTCGGGAATCGAAAAGTAAAGAAGGTAGATAAGAAATCCAGGCGCAATTATCATTCGAATGCTGCAAGGCTGCCTGCCATGAGCCTTCGGTTTTCGTTTTCACGATATTATACGCTCGTACTAAATACTTCTGGCCTGTGTACGCCGTCCGCGTTATCCGAATGGGATTCTATCGTATGTACTTTGGCGGAGAACTTATTTTCTTGTGCTGTTGTTTGTTATTGAATTTACTATAGTCGCAGTTAAATTTTACTACAATCTCGTGTTTGCGAACATAAGAAAAGCATGTGGCACGGATGGGCTGATAAAGTCTAAGTTTTCTCTAACAGGTCGACACTGTGTTGACATATCATTTTTTAACACAATTTATAATGCTCGATTATGCTAATGATCAAAGACAACAATCTTTTTTGATGATACTACTTGCGAGCTATGTTTTTCTAAAAACGTTAATATTTTTAATTTTCATATAATTTAGTTTATCTATTTAACGTATATTAGCAGTTTAAGTGCAAATTTTTTATCTCTTCTTTGTGTTCTCGAAAAAATTAAATAAATACGCCTATATACTTCATTTTAATTTTAAAAATCTTTCAAAGATGAATTCCATTTTCCTTTTTCTCACTTTTACTTTTTCACTTTCTTTTTAATGGTAAAGAATGGATGTAAAAATTAATGATTCTTATTCTATTCTACGAATTTATATAGACCTGTATATATATATCTACAATTATAAAAATTTATAAAAATTTGTGTATTTAAATATTTATCGAAATTAATATACAAATATTCAAGATTTAAAGTGTAAAAAAATTAATTACTAATTTGGAAGAAATATGATTTGTATTGATTTGGAAAAAAATGTTTGAAATACGATAACACACAAGAGTATGATCTTTGCAAAGTCACTAATGCATCGAATGATCTTATACTTTGTTATACTTTGGTTGATGTCAGGAAAGCCGTATGCGTGCACGCACGTAGTAAGCCTACGTCATCGTCGCTTTACGACACAAGGCCGTGCAATCGCGAGCGATCATCCGCCGACCGACATCGTAAATCCGATGGGGGTTCTCAACCTTATCGACCAACTATAACTCTGCCACGTTAAGCCTCGCCAAATGCACGTTGTTAACCATCAAGATGTATTTTTTATGTGAGACAAGCCATCTTACGCCTATCTTAAAATCATTTATCATGATGGTATAGTATAATTTACAAAATTTTAATTATATTTGTCGCGCTCCTTCCTTCGTTTATATTAAAAATGATAAACAATTTATTTTATTTTGAAGACACTTATTTAGAAAAAATAAAAGATTTATGTTATGTTGAATTATAAAACACTTCTGAAAATTACAAAAACCTATTTTTTTTTTTTGCTAAATGTAAATACCATGATGTCTTCTCTATATTTGATATTTTATTTTATGCTATTTCCTACTATATTTCTTTTTATTATGTATGTTATCAATATAGATGCATGTCACAATATCTAGGATTTCTATAAAGATCCTTATCACATTGCAATAATAGTTGACATTC